ACCATTGGCAGGGGAGCGCGGCTCAGAGAGGGGATCCTAGGGGAAGAGAGAGATACAGGGTGAGCCTTTCACGCCCCTCGCCCTCCACCAGCACACAGGGCACTCCACTGCCAAATGCACTGAACTCCAGGTCCCTTATCAGAATAGGAACTTTCACATCCCCTTTTTAAAATTTTTTTCCCCACTTTCATGACACATCACAACAGTTTCCTGTCTGTCCGCTGGGCTTGGCTCCTCAAAGATGCATTTTCAGCTTTTTTTTAAGGTCAGAAAAACACATCTATGGTGCCAAGCTACCTGAGCATGTCTCAGTTCTGATCAGATTTAAATGACTCAGACAACAGCTTTTGGAGACCACCCCTTACGTGAACAGGATTTCACTCAGCTCTTGGTAAGTCTAGCCCAGGTCCTGGCTCAGCTTGAGCAACACGATCGCCAGCAAAGAGAGGTTAAGGCAATGAGTGTGAGCGCCTGACTAGTCACAGCTTAGGGGTTCCTTTCTAAACACATTTGTGGGTTTTTTTATTATTGAATGAGTTATCACCTCTGAGGCCAGAGAATACATTTCTATCAGCAGCATCACCTGCTGATTATTATTACAGGAACAATCCCAAAGAACCAGTCACATCCCTTAAGTAAATGCTGAGGAGTGTACACCACCACTACACACTCGGTGTTCTGATGGCTTATATACTGGGAACACTCACCCCCCAAACTGCTATTACTACACATGCCCAGCGATTCCGAGGCTCTGTTAACATGACTTCCTCCCCCCTCCTCCCAGCATGGCCCCAGTTACCATTTTTAGCCCCAAGTTCTGCCAGAGGGGTACCTCTGAGGTCTCCAGGGACTGGATCTCTCTCGGTAACTCCACGGCGTGCCTGTTGAAGTAGTCCATGGTAATGGCGTTATTCCAGTAGCTCAGATTGTTCTCTGGGTTCGACGTCTTCTTCTTCCTCCGCATGCAGCAGACTGTCAGCAGAACTGCTGTCAATAGAAACACGTCAAAAATGTGGTTATTGTCTCTCAGTAAGGACTCATAAATACCATGAGTTTGGTTTTTACGTTACTTAAGGAGAGGGCTGGAAGCTCTGTGTGCTTATCCTGCACCTGTGGGATTAACTGGCCCATCGTGCCTATAATCCACCCGGTTTACACAGACAGACAGGTACCTGGACATGTACTTACTGTGATTTGTGACATAGGGAATGCCCTGCCATAAATTCACTCCATTCTTTCTAAACCCCTCATGGTAGAAGAGAGACAATATTCACGAAGCAGAAAAATATGTTATTTTCTCAGCTCCAGCCCAAATTTATGTATTAGAATTATAGCCCAGAGGAGAGAAAAGGCTGCGGAGAGGTCAGAACTGCTCTGTATGTTTGACAAACACTGCAGCCACCCATATGCCGTGGCTCTAGTTTCTTATTCCATCTACTCACATAAAATGGCAATGCAATGGTTTGAGTTCAGGCAGTCTGTGCCTCATCCAAAGGGAAAGGTGAGCTGATGCCATGAATCTTCTTCCAGAACTAATGGAAAATCTCCCACGCTGTTCCTGCACATTTCAGAAAAGCGGGTTCATCATCACACTCACTATTGACTCCTATCGCTTCAGTCTTTCCATCACCAATAACTTCATCTGCTGACAGCCCAGCAGTGGGACCCCCATTTGCCCCCCAACACAGCTCTCCCTGCCCGGGGAAATGCCCGTCCTCCTGAAGGGCTGCACCTTCGCTCCCCTTTGCTGCTTCCCTCTCTGTGTCCCAGACACACGATGTTAACAGACCTGAATGTCGCAAATGCTTAAAAGTCAGGAAACATCCAGACTGAAGGATGTTAATGTCCTTCTCCCTGTGCCTGCAGATCATCACATAAACTAAATTTCTGCAGAACCCTTGCCTCAATGACTAAAACAGTGTTTTTTTCCATATTTCTTTTAATTTCCCTCATTTGTCGTGGCTGTCTGTAGCAGTACAGCCCCAGCTGTGACACAGGTATCGTGATGGGTTTGGGTAATGACTGCATCTGCCAGCATCTGGAGCCAGGAGGCTCCTGTCCAGCCCAGCCTGAGCTCACACCTGGGGATCAGACTCCAGGCTGGGATCTCTCTGGCTTCAGACTGGGAAGCAAACGTTTGCAATGGACAAAGTGGGTGAGATAATTTTGGAAAACATCCCAGCGCGTGAGATGTGAGCTAAGTGGGGTTAGGTCTGAGGCAATTCTTCATATATTCTTTGAGTTCTGCTGACGCTGGCGTTCGGAGGCTCAGCCTTCCCCTCGTGTTTTCCTGCGTCAGCAGAACTGGCTGAATGAACTGACTTCTGCGCATCTGATATGCAAGTTTCTGTTCTTCCACCTCCCATTGTGTCACTCTGTAATTACAGAGTTGTAACCGAGAGCCCAAGGACTGGGACAGTGGGTTTTAAAACACATTCATGTCGTGCATTGCAGAGACAGGCACCCATGTGCATACAGACCCACGTGCACAAGAATGGTTGGGGCTGCCTGAAGGACGCCGCAAAGCCAAACTGTGACATGCAGAAAATACCAGTATCAGTGTCATATGTGACTTTGCTTTTCTGGGAACTCAGTGGTACAGAGGCCTTCATTCCTGCATCCCTCGAGTGGTGTTAGCAACGTCACCCCCATTATTTAGAGGATATCTGTCTCGATATGTGAGATATCTCCACTTCTGAGCATCCCCAGGCAGGAGCTGGACAGGGTTTGCTCAGTCCCTGCCCCCAACAGCCGTAAGAGACGCTCACCAAAAGCATCTGCACCCCGTGATGATGCAATGAAACCCAAGCGGCTGTCCTCTTCATCCATCAGCCCCTTCCAGATGAGAAGTGACAGCAGATGCCAGCGCATGCCCTTCTGTCCCCAGCTGCAGGCGCCGGTGCCCGGGAGGTGGCAACAGTCCCCTTCGCACACCCCACACCACAGGTAGTTATAACTTCTTTTCTTTCTCCTATAGCAATAATCCATGCCCATGCAGCAGCACTTGGCATGGCATAGTTTAAACAGCAGAACTTTTGGATGAAAGCAGTTCCCTGGGTACTTCAGCCAGACCAAAAAAAACACCAACCCAACCCCATTTAAATGCCTGCCTACCATTAATTTCAACTCTGAAATACATCTGAGGATCCCCAGATTTTAAAAGGAGAGTCCTGCCGAAGAGCACCCTCAGGGGACTTCAATAGCTGAATTGTGTAAACGCTCAGTGGCATTGGAGCTGGAACAGACAATTTTCAACAGAACACTTGCCTTTTTGAAAATGTACTTTACAAACACAAGAAACAGGACAGACATTGTCATACAAAGACATGCTGTTATGGTATATAAGAAAAGTTTAAACACCACTATTTAATGAGTAGTGGGTTAGCAGTCCTGCCAACAGACTCCTGATATTATAATTATTAACAATAATAATAACAATGATAATCAGTTATTAGCCCACGTAAGGCACACTGCAGGCAGAGCCATACGCCGGTTATGCCTCCCATGCTTGCGTTGCATGGTGTTACAGTTTGTGTTTTGTATGGGGATGCTGCTACCCTGATGTTTCCCCAGGCAGCAAAGGCTGGGAGATGTTTACTTCTGTTCCACTCCAGACAGAGCAGCACAGTCACACCCTGCAGCAGTTAGAGAATGCGCTGTCCCACTGTGCTCATATCGCCCAGCTGAGCAGCGGACACCTCGGCACCCACTCACAAACTTTCCTATAATTTCTCACATGTTCTTTTGTCACCGAGTCGGATGGCGAGACCCTCAGCCAGCCCAGGGAACCCAGCCTGCCCCGGTCCCGCCGGCAGCTCCAACTCCTCCTGCTCCCTTGGCAGCTGCAGAGTCAGCGTGAACACGGAGACAACCAGCAGCTTGCTTATCAGACTTCAAAATCTGATAGCTCACAACCTGCCTGCAACAGAATATTTGACCGCAGTGGAGAGCTGGTGTTTCCGAAGGGACCAGTCATTACAACTATAGTTAAGCTGCTGGGACAGCGGGGTGCTTTTTAAATCCAATCCCAGGCAGCACACAGCAGGTTCTAGATGAAAGGCTTCTACAACTTTTGGTCACCAGCTTGAACAGCTTCAGGTAAAGCTGCTTCACCTTCTAGATCTGTTGAGCCTCACGTTACACCCTCAAACGGAGGGCCCAAAAAGACTAGAAGAGATTTCTAATAGCAATGGAGCAAGCATGCTGGGGGCGTGAACGTTTTAACCCTGCACTCTGAAGCCAAGCACTTTGGTCAGTGAACATGATCTCTCTCTAGCGATTGCTCCTCATCCATCTCAAGCCGTTCTGCCTCACCTAGCTCTCTACCTGGTCCTTGAATTGTGGGCCAAAATTGGAATTTTTAAGGAAAGAGAAAGCAAAATAAAGCTGCAGTTAACTTACAACACGAGGAGATGGGTACGCTGATGGCCAGAATGATCCAGGCAATGTCCATCTTGCTGAGGCAGATGGTTGCTCTGTGCTGGGGCTTGTCCCCCTCGGTGACGTGGGAGATGTTTCCTTGGACCCCGGGTTTCCAGGTCCCGGCAGGAACCAGTCTATTGAGGAAATTCCCGGTGGCAGTGGAGCCAGCCGTGGAAGCGGAGCCGGACAACCTGGTGGCAGGCGCCGCGGAGAGCGCGCTGCCCAGTGAGGTGGCGTTGGTCACTGCGCTGCCGTGCCGCGTGGGAGTGGGTCCCTCGGGCTCTCCTGCAGCCGGGGAGGAGATGCTGACGCCAAAGCTGGTCTGACCCGAGTCCCCCGCCGCTGCCGTTGCAGACCCAGGGCCAGCAAACAGCGGGACGTTGGTACTGAGGTTCAAGGTCACCCACGAGCTGTTTTTGCTCAGCATCTCCCACACGCCATAGTGGGTGGGTTTGAAAGGCACCGATGCTGCTTCGGGGTGCGGTGATGGTCCAGCCGTTGCGGTGGCAAAACCTGCCTCCTGTCCCGCCGACTCGGCCCCGTCCCCTCGCTCTGCTCCCCTCAGGCGTCCCGAGGCGCTGCGGGGGGGAGAAGGGGCTGGGGGTGCAGTTCTCGCCGGCCTTGTGACATTGGGATCACTGGGCACTGAGGGCTGGGATGGGAACGGGGGGTCTGTGAAGGGGCTCCGCGAGGCAGGGAAGGGGGTGTGCAGGGTGGTCTGTAGGGAAGGCTCCAAGGACGCTGTGAAGTTGCCTTTGGAAACCTGGAATGTTTTCCCCTTGGGGTGAGTCTGTCCCGAGTACAAAGCGCTCTGGTTGTACAAACGATGCGTTTCCTTGTCGCCAGCTGGGTTTTTCCTGGTGGAAGGGGCTTTCCCCGCTGGGCTGAAGGGATGGGGGATGGCACGAGGGGACGTGGGATGGGGCTCTGCTGCGGGGTGGTCCGTATGATGAGGCGTGGTTCCCATGGCTGTGGTGGCGGTGGTGTCCATCAGGATGCCCTGAGAGGAGGAGGCGGTGGGAGACAGGACCTGGACAGCAAACACCAGCTCTTCTGTCAGTGCCAAGATCAGGAGAACACCTGGAGGGAAAAAAAAGAGAGAGTGAGACACTGGGGAGGGACCCGTGGACAGGGAACGGCACTGCCGGTGTGTCCAGCAGGAAGGAATGCCTTCTGTGCTCTGCAGAAGGACAGAGGAGTGAGCATCTGACTTGGCTGTTTTGGCTGGGAGGCCTCCAGATGAAAATCCGCATCGTTATGGGGAACCTCAGCCCGCTCACACTTTTGGCTGCAAAATCCTGAATTTGGCTGCCTCCAGCCCTGGATGCCATTAAGCAATCTGCTTTTTGAAAGAGCAGCTGCTCAGCCCTGGCTGAAAATGAGGTCAAGAAGGGACGTTCAATGGGGGGGCTCCCTAGGTTGTATGCGTCATCCTTTACCTAGCAACTTTGGAAAAGCAAGCCTCTTATTTTAGAGCATGAGATGTGGAAAATCACAAAATTTTAAAAATAAACAAGAAAACACAGCTTCACAGCCATTTTACAAAGCCACTTGATTCTTAGGGGTCTGCTGTGATCTAACACCACAGATGTGTGGCTGTCATCACAGCTGCGGCAGCAAAGCCCCCCTGGGATGCAGGGCTCACCCCGCGAGCTGGTGTGACTGGCAGTGACCACATCAATCACACCTCACCACCTCCATACGCCGAGGCTGTCAAGTGTAACATGGATCCCTGCCCACTACACGGAATAAATCCATTTTGCACAGCCCACCTGGCGTCATCAGATGGCACCATCAGCACTGTGCTGGTGTGGATTCCAACGAGCGGGGTCAGGGTGAAAAATGTTGTCACGGTCTTAACAAATCAGGAAAATGAGTCTGTCACAGCTGCAGGACTCCAAACTGGGTAACGACCACCTTCCTGCCCCCTTCCCCTCCCTTCCCAGACTCACCAGCATTCTCCACGTGCATCGTGATGCCACTTTAGTTCTGCCCTACTTGGGAATATCCGCTATGGGCACCAGCAGAAAAGGAAGACGGGGACTTGGGAAAATGAAGGAAGATTTCTGATTAGGTGTCCACTGGGCTCCGTTGCATGTTGGGCAGATGCAAATGCCATGAGATGAATTTATTCTGAACCCTCCGCATCATTCTCACCCATTCGCAATGTGCAACACACGCAGCAAAAACTGACCAAAGGAGCGGTACCTACTCCTCTTACCCAGCTAAGCACTCTGCTTTGATTGCTAACCGTCATTTCTGAACCAAAACAGCACTGATCTCTGCAACCAGCAGAATTCACCCCCTCTTGCCCCCCACAGCCTGCTGTTACTGCGCCGAGTATCCCGAAGATGAAAATGCCGAACGGAAAACACAGCGAGAGCCAGTTACAGGCAATGCACTTTCCACTGCCTGATGCTAAAATTAGCTTGTATTTTTTTTTTAAATTTTCTGAAATAAATGCCAAATAAACCATCATCTGGGCTCCTGCTTTCCAGTTCCTAGCCAGTCACAGAGCACCCAGTCAAAGACAAAACTGCACACGGAGATGTGACCAGGAGAGCAGATCGTGCTCTACCCGTGGAGCATCACTCCTGGAAACAAAAGGCAGGAGCTATCTGCACATTTTTGGCAGCACTTATTCTGAGGTCAAGGTCAAAGCAGATATCCTAGTGGCCATTTGGCTAATGTTTCATGCCAAGACAAGTTGCTGCCACAGAACAAATTCAAAGAGGGAAGGATAATGATTTGTTTTGGATTTGGTGTGTAGAGATAATGTTCCAGGAAACCTCAGGCATGCTGTTCTGAGCGCATGGGATAAAGCGCATTGGCAGATCTTACAAGATACTAGATTACAATGATTGCAATGCCCACTAGAATTTTTGGATGTTCTTTGTGTAACCACTTGCTCTCACACCTCACGTGCAGAAAAACATCTCAATTGGGCTCACGCTCTTCTCCAGGATGTTCCTGGTTGAATGAACCACAGGAATTCCTTCAGTGACAACCAGAGCTAACCTGTGTCCCTAACTCCTGCAAAAATATCCAGCTTAGCAGATCATTGCAGAAATAGCCAGTGCTGCACATTTAGGGAGACCCAGCTGATGACGAGGACTTCACAGCGGGCTGTTCTGGCCCTTTTAAGCAGAATTAATTGGCTCTATAAGTGATCCACAGCCAACCAGAAAGCAAAAGTGAAGCTGGGACCGGTATTTTCAGATGCTCTCCACCACCACCAGTGCGCTGGCTGGGTTTGTGGTGACCTGACTGCTCAGAGCTCCCACTTACTGTTCAATCACTGGAGGATATGCAATGTCTTACCAAGTGGGACTCTTCTTACTGAGGTCCCTGACATCTGACTGCCCTGTTTGTCCACTTTTTGGCAGCCTAAGGCTCTTAGGGCTGACCTTACTCAGAGCGTGAGCCCTCTGGGGTAAGGACTGGCAGTCCTTGCTGGCTGCCGGCACAACACAGACCGATGTAGGCATGTCACAGCAAATATTAATAATCAATTCTGTTTTCAAAGGTCAGTTCACACTGTGAAGTTTTTTCCTAAGGGGCCATTTTTAAGGTATAGGAGCTCATGCTCAAGAGTTAAACTGTTTTGGTTTTTAAATGCTGTGTGTTAAATCCCCACTTCTGGAGTCTAATTTTATCACTACATTAAGCTGATTGAACCCTCTTGAGAAGGCTGATTGACCTGACATCTCTGTGGCGCAACCTGTGTCACCCTGTGGTCTCGCACGCTGCACCAAGAAGGGAACGCCAAGTGCAAAATGCAAGAACTCAGGGATGAAGCACAGTAGAGTGACAGCAGAGTGCACACAGAGGGGGCAGAGATGCATTTAGCCAGAAAAACCCCTTCCTGACAACACGCTGCAATGGTTCAGATCTCAACAGGATCTCCCTGCAGCACCTCTGCCCATTGTACGCTCACAGGAGGAGCCCAGGAACGGTGCGCACAGTTTTGTACATGAGGAAAATGAAGGTGTTCCTTTACAGCAATGTTTCAAAAGGCTGAGGTTGATGTCCTCAGCCAGTCTCAGGAACGTTGGAGGGGAGGAATATTTTGCTTTCCCAAACTATGAAATCCGCAGGGAGTCTATCCAAAGCCCCCCTTGCCAGACTCATTTGGGAACCTCCTCATGACCGTTTTGTTTGCAGGCAGGAGGCAGAAGTGCCTCCCCCCAAACTGGAAAAACAACGCGATCCCAGCCTCAGTAGCTGATGTGCTTTGCCCGTTTGATCTCAGGACCCCCTGCTCGGACCTGGTGTCCTGGCACAGCACAGCACTAAGAGGCTTCATTTAGGAGCAAATACCGCCTGATGCTGCACAGGAGATGTCCCGGGCACTTTGAGAACAGCCTTTGTGCACGACATGGCACAGCAGGCACGCGGCTGTCGAGTCAGCTCCTGCGTCCAGCTTCCCCGGGTCACCCCTCTGAACAACACGGATTTACGTAACTTCTGATGGAAAGACCGTGGAAAGGTTGCTGATGACTTCAGTGGGCTTTGGATCAAGTCCTAATTGCCAAAGATACAGTGGAAACTTTGGAGCTGCACATTCCTATTTTCTGCAGCAAACGAATCCACATGACAAGCTCCGTCTGGTGTTCAACCCCTCCTGGCCTTGGCTGCCTCGGATCTTGCAGCAAGACAAGCAGCTGTCCTGAGCCGTGCTTGGCAAAACCTTTAGCTCTAGGAAGTTGGGAAGAGCTTTTTGAGCGGAGACCTACTGCTGGACTCGTGATTTCAGACTGCCGTGGGTAAGGGAAGCACAGGGAGCCATCCTATCTACAGACCCCAGGCTGGGATGCACGTCGGCACCGTGTAGGATGCTGGAGCCTCTCCGTGCTTCCGACTTACTAACAGCGAGAGAAGGTTGTGCAAAACCTGTTCAAAGCAGCAGCAATGTTATTGTTGTAACGAAAGCTCTCTTCATAGCGCTATTAACTTCTCACGTGTCTCTCAGCAAACCTAAAACGTCACAGGGAGCAAAATGAATCTTTAATGGGTGGAAACTGTGCAGAAAGTATCTATTATTGCTTTTGTTGTGGTCATTTTTGTTCTGGTAATTACTTTGTCAAAGCAATATGATTTTCACTCACAATAAAGCAGCCTTTGCACAACAAAGAGTTAAAGAAATTTCATCTCCAGGATTGGTGGCAGAACTAAGGGGAGAAAAAGTACATTACTCTGCACAGACAATTTCTCTGCCCTGCCTGTCAGTGGCTGTCATGCCAGCACTCCCAGATATTAACTGTCTGTTCTCTCTTGTAAGTATTAGACACGGAGATCAGCCTCAACCTCAGTGCACCAGGTACTTGGTAAAATGCCGGGGATGAGACACACCGAGTAACAGCTCTACGGGCAGTGACACAACCCAGCCTCAGCAGAAGCTCCGGCAATCCCACATACAAACACCAACAAAGCAGCACTCGCCGACACTCCTTGTGCAACAACAGCAATGGGTGTTACAGCTTTTATGCGGCAAGAATGTCCCAGTCCTTTCCCAACACGAAAACATTGCAGAGCACCATTATTGCTCTAAGATGCACTTCAATCAGAAACCTTGGGAGAGCAGGTCTATTAATACGAATTCATCCCTGGTCCTCCGGTATGTTAAGTAATGGGTGACACACACAGGACAGTGGGATGGAGTTACAGCTCCCAGTTCATCCTCACACTGCACTGGGGACTCACAGACACCATGGGAATGGGTGCTTTAGAAATGCTCCAGATCCCCTATGCAACTAAATACACACAGACACCCGAGCTGCTGAGCCTCGTGAAAAGGCTTCCTGACAATCCAGGACAACAGTAATTACCAAGAGGAGGGTAATAAAGCAAGAGCCCGACCCTAGCTGCTCGTTCACGGTGATCACTTACCTGAAAAGATCATTGGGACTCCTCAGCAGACATCCTCACCTGCTCACACCACCCCGGTTTGGGAGCTTCATCCCTCAGCAGAAAAACCAAAAATCCATCTCCTCCCTACGAGGCAGCTGCAGGCAGGACTGGCTGCTATTGCTGGAACGGGTCTGGAGGAATGAGGACAGAGGCAGCCCCGGCAGGCGTGTCTCGCAGGGCTGTGCAGAGGGCTTGCTCCTGTGCAAGGCGAGATCACTTACAGAGCCAGCCCCCTCTGCCAGCAGATCCAAGGGCTGCTTGGTATTCCAGCTCGGTTTCCCATCCAGCCTAGATACGGTTTGTCTGACGTGGGGCTATTCAGAAGCCAGAGGATTGCTGGCGGGTCTCATTTTCTGGGAACAAAACAGCAGCGAGCCCCCCAGCTGCACGTCCTTGGGAGGCTGCTCAGCCCCTGTTACAGGGCAGCGTGCTCCACCTCCTGCTTCTGTGCCTCCACCAGACTTTTCACTTCATTCAGTTATCTCTAATGATACTAATATTCCTGCCAGAAGAAAATACGGGGAATGAAACAGCAATCCTTTTCTCCCCTTTTCCTTTCCTGGCATCAGAATGCATATTTTGTATTTTATTTCTTCACTCCTCAGTGGTGAATGGCAATTTCTCCTTTGTAACCATAAAGAACACACAGGTTTTGTGATTCCTAAAATGAAAATCCTGCCTCCCTTCTTCCATTTCTTCTTTTTTCTGTTTCTTTCTCTCTGGCACGGCTGGGTGTCTGGAAGAGCACACTGCCCGAAGAGCACAAAAACCTGCCCTGTGCAGCCAGCTACCCATCCCTCAGAAGGCACCGGGAGATGTGAAGAGAGCACCAAGTTGGAGGTGTCCTTACAGCAGCACAGGAACCCCCAGGAGTCAGAGTCGGTCTCTGATTCCCAGTCCCTGCTGTGTCCAGGGGTGCTGGAACAGCCCCAGCAGGCCATTGGATGGGCTTCTCCCAAAATTCATTCCTAATATTATGCTAGAGAGAAAAGCTCCTTCCTTCTTCTCTTTTCTCGTACCAGGTGAGAAGATCCTCCTTTTCCAGACCTTGGATACGAGCA